AAATCAACTGCCGGCAGTTTGGTTTCCATCAGAGAGAGTGCCTTTCCCGATCATTACCCTTGTCCGACAAAGGGGCTAATCCTGTCACTATGATCACCCACTCAGATGAACTCTCGGACTGTCCCAACATACCCAGGTTTTGATCCCCGCTAAGGATCTCACTGATTGGCATATCAAAGACAGCCCGATCCGACACCTAATGAAGTGTCATAATCGAGTCTAGGGGTCAGGTGTAACTTTCCAGTTTTGCCCATCTGTCTCCAAGGTATAGGGCAATACTGGAAATCTGGTCCGGTTCAAGGATTCAAGTAATCCCATGCTGCATGTGCCTTCGGTCTTACCCTGGTGGCCGAGACAGGCCATCCCAACACTTGGTGGCACACCAGTATCAGCCTTGGCAGGATAAATCTCCCCACACTTATCCAATGGCTGTGAACATTTAAAACTAACACGAGTCTCTATAAATGTCCATTTTTAGGGTCTTACATAGAATCATACCAAACAACATGAATCAAACATGCACTTTGATTATTTCCACTAAATAACAAAAGTATATCAAATCGGATTGAAGTTAAGGGCATACAAAACAAAACTGTCTAACACAAGGTGCACCTGATGTCGCCGGTCTCTCTCTTTCTCTCTCTCTTTCTTAAATGTCTTTTTAAAATGTAATAACGACATGCATTAAAATAAGAAAAATTCATAAAATGGAGAAAATAAATAAATAGCTTCTCTTAAAGGAGATACATGCTGACATGGACCGTCCAATTTTATTACTATTGTATATACATACATACATACATACATACTACATATATACATACATACATACATACATACATACATACATACATACATACAAACATATATATAGATTTTCTTTAATAGCATTAGAGTGGAGTTAAGTGGCAATTTTTTCTGATCCAGTTGGGTATCTGAACTCTCCGACCCAATTGAATTGGGTACGCAAATGCTCTAATGGAATTCATTTTTTTCCTTTCAGTTGGATTGACCCACCATTCGTTAATCTTAATGTCTCAATGCTTAATGGTTTGATTCATTTCAATTTTGAGAAATGACATTGAATTTGGGAATTCATGTCCCTGAATAGGTAAACACTATGAACTAATATCATCATAGGCAAGGATTAAAATGTTTAAATTATATAATTTATAATTTATATGAAAAAAATGTACTTTAAATACACTATGAACTAATTACATTTTTTCTTGAAGATTATTGATAATTAGTATATATTTTCAAAAAGTCATTTTAATGGTTATATTTATTAGAAATCATGTTAATCCAATTTTGGTAATTATGACAAAATTATTGGTACTTTATTTTTGGTTATTTTCTTGGCTAAGTTCTATTCATTAAATGTAATTTTCTGTTATTTATAACTTAAATTATATTTAAATATAATTACTTTTAATTATAGTTTAAAATTTAATTATAATACTTACAGTTTCAAATATAATTTAAATAATATTTAAAAAACAATTTAAATTATAACTTACATTATTTAACAATTTAAAAAACTCTTAATTAATGAATTAATAAAAATATTAATATTTATTAATCAATACAGTATGTTAATAAACATTGTTAATTAATAATACTATAGGTATTGAAAATATTATAAAATATGACTAATTATTAATACTATAATTATTAAAAATATTGTTAATAAAAAATAATACATTATTTTTAACAAATAATGTTAATTATTTAAAATACTGTAAGTATTGAAAATTTTGTAATTATTAAAAGTACTATATTAATTAAAAATACTATTAATTAATAAATTCATTATTTTAATAAATACTTTTTATTAACTAATAATACTGTAATTATTAAAAATAATGTATTAATTAAAAGTACAATTAATTCTATTAATTAATTGTAATAATACTCTCTCTCTCTCCCTCTCTCCCTCTCTCTCTCTCTCTTAAATGTTATTTTAAATGTAATAATAATATGCATTAATCTAATCAAAATTGGCAATGATTACTTTTTTATACTTTAAAACAAAAGAAAATAGGAAAACTGCAAAAAGTTGAAAAATTAGATAAATAGCTTCTCTCAAAGGAGAGACATGCTGATATGGACACTCCAATTTTATTATATATATATATATATATATATATAAAATAACAATTGAGGAAGTTGGAGTTTGATGTTGTAATGAGCTCTATTTTTTTAATGTTCACTATGAGTACAGATGCTCTCTTTTTAACTCTGTGTCCACTAATTAATTAATTAAGGGCAATTTTTTTTAAACTATCCCTACTATTTAGCTAATTGATAAATTATACCCTTACTATTTACATATTGTCTTGCACTATTCCTACTGTTTTTGACAATTGACTAGCTCTACCCCTATCGTTAGCATCCATTAGTATTCCGTCAAAGTCCGTACACTTGTGACACCACATGAGTTTAAAACTTTTCTCACACTTGTCACCTTCTCAGGATTTGAACCCGAAAAGCCAATCTCTGTCTTCAACCTATAAATTGAGCTCTGGTTCTTCAGTTGCTCCTTCGAATCAAAACCTTCGAGTTTCATTTATATGGAAAAGGGCGGCCAACTATGGACTGGCCCACTGGATTGAAAATTGCTCTAGGCTTTGCGAGTTAGGTCCAAAACCAGAAGCTTGTCTGAAAAACATGAGCATTGGAGATTCAACGATTCAAGTTGGTCCGGTGGAAAAGAGTTTTTGAGTGGGGTAAAAGACACTTGGGATTGCTGATTCTTCCTTAAAGATTGGGATGAGTTGATGGTGTGAAAACACTTCCTGATGTCGAATTCCAAAAACCAGCGAGAGTTCCCCTGCTCTTCTTTGATCTATCTTAGGGCTGAGTGGCAACCTTGACCCAAGAAGAAGTGCGATGTGTCTAGAAACTTGAGATCGTAAATGGATTCGGGTACCATTCTGATCGCCTCTTTCATGATTTTTTCTATAGGTAGAACTACTATGAGTGGTCTAAACTTAGACCCTTTTTTCTTTCTTCATATTGTAAAGGGGAGAAAAGCTCATTTTTTGTTCCCTCTATTGATAGATCAGGGCCCTCCTGCTGTCGTTTCCATGACTCATAGGGCTTCCCTCTGTTCAGACTGGTGCCGCCAACTCTCCTAGGACCAGAATGATTATCCCTGCCCGATGGGTCTACATCCATCCCTGAATGTCGTCGGGTACTGTTAACTTCCCCGCCATTCTTGTAACCGTCACCTGTAATCTACGCAGGTGTGTTCGCACTGATAGTGAGCCCACTCATCTGGCCCATGCATCATCTTGCGTGTCCCATCCACTGACCTCTTCACCACCATCATCTATCGTAACTAACCCAGATAAACTCTACCTCTAACAAATCCAATTATCCTTACACTCATGTATATCATTGTACAGGTAAACCTTATCTCAACACAGCTATAAATACAATAGTTGATCAACCCCAAAGAGAGTGATCTTCTTGTTCTGATCAACATTGTTGTTGACTTTCTTTATGGTATCAAAGCTATTGCAAAACTGCTTCAACAATGTCCGCCTCAACTTCAACATCTCAGATTGATGCCAGTTCGTCCTTAGTACCATCTTCATTAGTGATCTCAATGATCTCCAATCTTGTACCCATAAAGCTGGACAACACAAATTATCTACTCTGGAAATCATTGTTCGAGCCCATACTCAGAGGACAACATATCAAGACCTTCATTGATGGATCCAAACAAGCTCCAAGTGCGAATGATCCAACGTTCATGACCTAGTCTAGAAATGATCAGATGTTGCTCTCCTAGATTCAAGCCACCCTATCTACATCAGCTCTCCCATACAGGGTAGGTGTGAAGTCATCCAAGGAAGCATGGGACATTTTGGAACATTGCTATGCATCATCCACCCCCATGCACATCACTTCCCTCCGTAGATAGCTTCACCGTCTGAAAAAGGGCACTCTCACTATGAACGATTACCTCCAACAAGTTAAAGTTATCTGTGATCAACTTGCAGCATGCGGGTCACCCGCGTCTGATGATGAACTGCAAATTTACATTCTTGACGGATTACCACCATCTTATCGTCCATTTTCTTCCACTATTTGTGGTTGTGCTCGAATTGCAGCAATCACTCTTGAAGAACTTCATGATCTACTTATCTGTGAAGAAATGTCACTAGCAAAGGATATTCCTACAAAGACCTCTCACGCTGTTGCTGTAGCCAAGACACAACAACAATCCCAATATATGTGCCATCCAAACTCATCAAACCGCCAACATTCTCAACAGAATGATTACAAATGCCAACAAAAGCAGCAAGGTGCACCCTCCTCATGTCCCTCACAGTCCAACCAAGGGCGTAATCATTCTACTTCATCTTCATGTCCAACCAACAATGGCTCTAGACCTACTTGCCAAATCTACAACAAAGTTGGACACATAGCTATTGATTGTTTTCAAAGACTAAATCTTACCTATCAAGGCAGACATCCACTAGAAAAATTAGTCGCAATGGCAGCTACATCTCATGATCCTGTCGATGATGGCACATGGTATTCGTGCACTAGTGCTTCTTACCACATCACTCCAAACCTCAGTAATGTATCTGACTCACTCCCCTATGATGGCTCTAATTCAGTCACAATGGGTAATGGACATGGCTTGGGCATAAAACATATTGGCACTACCACTCTAACTTCTCCCACCTCCACCTTTTACTTGAATCGTGTTCTTCATTGTCCTGATGCCTCCTCCAATTTACTTTCAGTTTACCAATTCTCAAAAGATAATAACTGTCAATTTACCTTTGATGCATTTGGCTTCATTGTGCAGGAGAAGGTGACTGGGAGGATCTTGCATCAAGGACTGACTGAAGGAGGACTCTACCCCTTTCGTCCGACCTTGGAAAGCAGCTCTCCCACTGCCTTCACTGCCCGCAGCCCCTTTGAAGCCATCTGGCACCATTGCTTAGGTCATCCATCCTGTGACATCCAAGCTGCAATTTTTTCACATTTATCCATCAAAAAATAAAAGCAGTCCGAATGTGTGTTCGTCATGTCAACTTGGCAAAAGTTGTCGTCTCCCATTTTACACTGTGCTTTATCATTCCAGCAAACCATTAGAACTTTTGCATTGTGATTTATGGGGCCCAGCCCTGGTATTATTTATTTCCAAATTTTGATATTATGTCTTATTTGTTGATGATTACACTTGGTACACCTGGCCATTTCCATTGCGTTTAAAATCATATTTCTATGATGTCTTTACCTTGTTCAAAGCCAAGGTAGAAATTGTTAGACAGTTTTGTATGCCCTTAGCTTCAATCAGAATGATGTACTTTATGAGTTTATTGTAAATGAATAAAGATACATATTTGATTCATGTT